ACGTACTTACCGCTACGACAAGTGTTCAAAATGATGACCCTGAACATCGACGAATAATTTCGTGTCTTCTCTTCTTGTTTACCGGTATACCGCTAATCGTTCAAGCGTATGTAAATATTTACCGTTTAAATTGCACGTAGCATTATTCACATTTATTTCATCAGTTTGAATTCATCTGTCGATTAAAGTGCGTGTCTTGCAAAGTGCGTGTCTTGCAAAATGCGTTATACGAAAGCGGAAAAAGTCGACATGATTTTCGTTTATGGAGAATGTCGCCAAATTATGAGAGAAGCAGTACGTTTGTATACTGAAAGATTTCCCGATCGTGTCCATCCCTCATTCTCTGTTTTTTCAAACATAGTACAAACTTTTCAAGAAACAGGAAGTGTGGATAATAAAAAATGCAAACGAATCAAGAAAGCAACTGAAAGCGACGGAAATTCGACGAACATTTTAGCCGCTGTAGCCCTAAATCCACATATCAGTACAAGACAGCTTGAACGTGAAAGTGATATTAGTCGACGAAGTGTTCTGCGAATACTACATTCCAACAAATTTCATCCCTTCCATATCTCACTTCATCAAGAGTTACATGGCAATGATTTTCAAAATTGTATACAATTCTGTGAATGGGCACTACAAAGACTACAAGAAGTGATATGTTTGCCACTAAAATCTTATTTACTGACGAAGCTACATTTACAAACAATGGATAAGTAAATCTTCGCAACATGCACTATTGGTCGGTAGAAAACCCACATTGGATGAGAGAAGTGGACAAGCAGAGACCTTGGTCTATAAATGTCTGGGCCGCAATTCTTAACGATAAAATAATTGGTCTTCACTTTATCGATGGACCATTAAATAGTCGCAAGTATGCGCAGATTTTAACAGAAATATTGCCACTATTATTAGAAGATCTTCCACTAAACGTACGACAATCAATGTGGTATCAACAAGATGGATGTTCTGCTCATTCTGCACGGATTATTACTGAATTGCTAAACAGAAAATTTGGAGATTGTTGGATTGGTCGGTCAGGATATAACAAATGGCCCGCATGTTCCCCAGATTTAACACCTATGGATTTTTATTTGTGGGGAAAGTTAAAACAACAAGCGTACAGCGAAATGCCGACAACAAGAGAAGACACGAAGGAGCGTATAAGAAGAGCTTGCGTTGCGATTGATCCGAATGAAATTCGTCGTGCAGTGTTATCTGTGTCGACATATTTCAGAAAATGCGTCGATGTTCAGGGTCATCATTTTGAACACTTGTCGTAGCGGTAAGTACGTAAATAAGTAGATTAGACACGAAATTATTCGAAGAGTGCCTTAACCCTTAACTGGCACAATGGGTCCAGTAGACCCGTTTTTTCGAGCTCGAGTTAATTGTACTAAATTTTGAGAAATCGACCAAGTGTCGATACCTACCGTTTGTTGATATCACTAAGTATAAGAGAAGACAGTTAGTACAGTGCGGCAAGCGTCAGTGTGTGTTCGGCAGTCGCTCAAAGTTTACCCTCTCGAAAAGCCGGGTCCAGCGGACCCGTTGTGCCATCAGTGAGTGAAAAATAGTTTTTCGTGAAAAACTTACAGTGGTACATTTTGTGTTTCTTGCTTAATTTGCAACGTAAGTATATCATCAAGTGAAATAAATTTTTTTTCGTTATTTCTTAGATTTTTTCTTTTATATAGATGGCTTACAATTTACGGCAACGCTCCTTACGAGAAGAGTTACTTGAAACACAGTACGACGAAACTGATTTTGGCGGGGAAGTGAGCGATAATGAAGAGGACAATGGTTCTGATTATGAGCATGATCCAGATGCAGACCTCACGGACACAGAACAAGAAGAAGATGAATTTGATGACGAATTGGAAGATGCACCTCCTACAAAGCGAATGCTTTTGAGAGAAGAAGAGGAAGATGAACTTGATTCTATGCCACTTGGTGATAGATTACAATCTCGCCGTAGATCACGTGGAAGACCACAATCAAAATTGTTTGGAAAAGGAGGAAAAGGTGGAAAAGACAGGTTTGTTTGGAACCTGAATCCATCGACGCGTAAGTTCGGTAAGTTTTCGGAGCAAAACATTTCGGAGCAAAATATTTCGGGACATGGGAAAGTGCATGTGTAGGTCGATTTATTTACATTCTATACTTGTGTATACATTCTGTCGCTAGAGGTATACATGTGAAATACATTGAGCGCTTATATAAACACGCATCTTAACGTGTATAATATTCCTTATACTGTATGTATCAAGAGACACGGTAGTGTCTCGCGCCAAGTGAACGCGAAGCGCGAGACCGCACGTGTATCTTTACGCGAGTCGATGAGTTCTGTGTACCCGAGATTATCGGATCTCACAATAAATGGCTGAATTTATCAACTTTTATATATCCGTAATTTAGTTTTAGTGTTTAAATTATATTATAAATATGTTTTTATTGTCTACGTACCCTACGAAGGAAGATATCTCGATGTGAAGATAAAATGTCAAAAATTTTAACATCAGAAATGTTGTCCTTTTCACGTTTTAAACGATAGACGGCGTTAAATTCTTGTCCTTTTCACGTTTTAAACGGCAGACGGCGCTTGCTAGCATATTTTATTTTATATCGATTAGCTGTCAACGTAATCAATTAGCTGTCAACGTAATGACATTAGATAGATAAAAATCAGCGATGACAAAGGAGGATTTTGGTGTCCTGTTATAAAGCAGTCAATGTCTTGAAAGTTCACGGAATAAGTGTTCGAGGCTATGCTTTGAACTGTACTGTCGCCTCTCAAGTAATGCTGAAGAGGATAACGGATACGAAAATCATGCTAAAGCTACAGGTGCGCAATTTCTAACTTTGCTAACCAATATGGAAGGAGAGGAGAGTTTTGATGACAGTTTTATATAATATTTTATTTTATATCGATTAGCCGTCGCAAAAGAAGATATGGATATTGAGCTGGAGGATATCAAATTATTATTTGAAGAAACTTCAAAAATCTCCGCTGCTGCTGCCGCTTCTTCGAAGGCCACCGCCATCGCTCCTCCACAGATCGCTGCTCCTCCAAAGACCGCCGCTCCTCAGCAGATTGCCGCTTCTTCGCAGGCCGTTGCCGCCGCTGCTCCTCCGCAGATCGTCACTCCACAGATCGCCGCTTCTCCGCAGATTGCCACTCGTCCGCAGATTGCCGCTCGTCCTAAGATCACCGCTCCTTCGCAGACTGTCACTCCTCCGCAAGTCACCAATACTGCCAATCTTCCCGAGATCGTTGCCACCGTCGCCGCCGCCACTCCTTCACAGATGGCCGCCGCTCCTCGATCTCATGTTCCTCAAACATACAAAATTCCACGTAATTTATTTATAATATAACATAATAATTGAATAATAATAGTAAATTCTATATATATATTTTTCCGTGTAAAAGTAACAAAATCGAGATATAGTGTAATAGATAATATTTTTACTACAATACTTTTTAAAAAAATATTTTACTTACCTTGTTTTATTTTTGTAGGGCACAAAATGAGAGGCACAAAAGGTGGAATACGCCACAAGTCATCGAGGAATTTCTTTGAATTTATATTTCAAATGAGCGATATCAACGACATTATGAAAGAAGACGAGGAACCCAGAGAGGAGAAAGAAGAGGAGGAATAAGAGGAGGAAGAAGAGGAAGAGAAAGAGGAGGAAGAAGA